GTACCAGTCTTTGGACATTTCTGTTCCGCCAAAGAAAGAAGCAGTGACAGTGGAATTCGGATTAGCTGAATGTGAAACCAATGATGAGGTTCCAGTCAGTAACAAATTCATGGACCCCTACTGTAAAAGATCATTGGTTCTGCAGCCCACTAAACAGTTAAACCTTTGATTAGGCAGCAAATCCAGTGACGCCACGACTTGGTTGTTGTTTCGATCACCAAGTTGTTCCGGCTTTTTTTTCTCGACTTTCTTACCAGCTGTAAACTCTGCAACCATTCTTTTTATTGACTTTCGTATCAGCTGTAAATAAACGATCTCTGCAAACATTCTTTTTCTTGACTTTCGTATCAGCTGTAAATAAACGATCTCCGCAAACATTCTTTTCTTGACTTTCGTATCAGCTGTAAATAAATGATCTCTGCAAACATTTTTTTCTTGATTTTCTTACCAGCTGTAAATAAATGATCTCTGCAACCATTTCATCAATAATAACGTAAATACAAAGGAAGACTAAAATGTGACATTTCTGATAGCCTAAAAATTGATTAACCTCTCGATTATATTATAGATTAGTTCATTAACCACACTTGGTACTTCAAGGGCAGGGCCATTATATCCAAATTAAAGGTCATATCTGAAATCCCATTTCTTGAACCCAGATGCCCCGAATATGCAATCAAATACCTCACCAACAGAGTAGTGCTCTGAAGATGGCGTGAAACAAATAAACTACTTCACAGCTCAGAAAAGCTGTCACCATGGTCATTATAGGTGCTGGGCAGACTGAATGCTAAGGCTGCAATTGAGATTCACACAGCCCATGATCTTTGATTTATAAATGGTTCAGTTCTCAAAATCAAAAGTTTTGCCAATTTCGTCTGAAATATTTCCCATATGCATGAGTTCAACAAAACAGAACTATCCCATAATGCTGCTAATTCACACTCTTCCTGTCGTTTTAAACATGGTTTTTGAACCCAACGGTTGGACTCGTTTACCCCAGGAATTATTCAGGCAATCGGTTCTGTTTTACTCCAAACCAAATCTCTGGCTAAAAATCATTGACCTGGGTGGTCGAATTGCCAACCCGCTCAAACGGTTTTAAGCTATATTTTTATTTTTATTATTTTTTTAATTTTTTTGTCAAAATGGGCCATCCATTTAAATCAGACGGTCGAACCATCAGCCCAAAAACTAGTGGCCAGAATAATCTGTTCCAAATCGTTTTTTAAAACATTGGTTTTAAATACCTTTCACGCATTTCAGACCAAATATAGTTAGCCTCTTTCTTCCATTCCCTACTGAACCACCCAAACATATCAGTTGCTGAGAACTGTCATTTTGTAAGGGCTATAACTGAACAAACCAGCTAACACACCAACGAGCCAGCCTTCGGTTGATATATAACGATTCTCATTGGTTAAGTGACAACAGACTGAATGAACTATGAGTAGAAATGTGATTCACCAATAACCTGAATTGCGACAATTAGACTGCTGCCTCCATCAGTAGCAAATTTACAAATTTTTCTCAGAAAATACTTGCATGAAAGATGCTGGTCAGGAGCCAAATCTTTCCTTTTCATATTCTTTTGCTTCTGTTATCTGTTTATCCACAGAAACAAGGTCCAGATCAAGGTTCAAAGTATTGATATGTATCGGCCCATATCGACCAATACGTATCGTTCCGGAACTCCTCCGATATGCTCATATAGTGGGTATATCAGGAGTCTGACCGGTTCAGGAGATGAAGGAGCCCTAAACCAGCCCCCCTGAACCGGTTTCAGAAAATAAATAAAAAAACTAAAAAAAACAGTATCGATTCACCCAATATGCCCATACTGGCGTATCAATATTTTGAACCTTGATCCAGATAACATTAAATTCGCCAAAGTTGACATTAGTAGGTTTTCCACTTGCGAATACTCCCTTTCTTTCCTGTCATCTCTTTCTAAGTTTGTTGTTAGACAAATTGGTACCATGTAACTTCCACAGCCAAACTTGTTAACATTTTGCTCATTTATTTTATTTGTTATATTCAAACATTTGATCAAGGTTCAAAATATCGATATTATTATTTTTAATTATTTTTATTTTTTTTTCTGAAACCGGTTCAAAGCCGGTTTAAGGCTCCTCTATCCCCTGAATCGGTCAGACCCCCGATACACCCACTATAAGAGCATATCGAAGGGGTCCTGAAACGATACGTATTAGCTGATACAGGCCAATACATGTCAATACTTCGAACCTCGCATTTTAATGTCTAAACTCAGATGTTACATCTCCATACAATTATTAATCTTCAATAGTACATTCCACTCCTTTGCCTTACATCCTGATGATTTTCTGAATGAACTCTATATTGCAAGGACCAAACAATGTCAAATTCTGATTTTATTCTTTCCTTGATTGGATAGATTCAACATTTCTAATCCACCATGTACCATGAGTTTGATATTTTTCTACACAAAGTTTTTAGGTAGTCCTTATTTTAGGTTGTACCCAAAAAAAAAGCAGTTCATCAACTCTTAACACATTATGTCTTTCAAAGAGTTTAATGGAGACAACAGTCCTAGTGGCACTTACTTGGCTAATGGAATTTCTAATGGCCATTGCAATGCTGATGCAACAATTGAACACTCCTATAGCGGCTACAAATGTAGGAAAGTTAAGATGATGTAGAAATCCTACAAGTCAGATTACACGGCTGGATTTTTATTTTTTAGGGTTAAAATAGTAATTGAAAACCATATTTGATGTAAGACAGCCCAGAAATTTCTTGACAGAGACAAATAACATCAAAAGTGCCATCAGAAATAAATGCTAGAGAACCTCCACCGAGTTATTAAAAGAGGTAGATTACCTGGAATTTTTAAAAGGCTCAAAATGCTGAAAAGTTGTAATAGAAAGAAACCACCACATCTATTCATGTTGGAAAGGACAAAATGAGATAAAGCTCTTGGACATCATACAACTAAAGTAGAGAATTTTCAGACAATTAGAGAGGTATTAATGACAGGAGGCTCACCCTAAGTTTGGGCTAGGATAAGAGTCCGAGTAATAAAACAAAGCCACAAAATAATTTCACCATCAAGATTGAGAATAAAGTAAGACAACCAATAAAAGAGTAGAAGGTTTGTATAAAATTTCTGCAATTCAAGAAATGATGTAAATCGTATGAACTTCAGCCCTTGATTATACAGAAAAGGGCATTGTTTAGTACCATGAAAAATCTCAAGATGCCAAAGGAGTTGCAAATGGATGGGTTGGATGAAGGGTGAAGGACAACCATTAGTAACCCAAATTTCTATTGTATACATAGGTTTCAAGTTTCAACCCAAATTATCCGACTTAACCCACCAATGTTGACCCATTTAAATATTTAAACCTACGTAAATACATCCTTATCATGGAAAAAATAGGGATAACAATAACCCAAATGGATAACCATTCCATGTAATTGCCTGCCAAAAAAAAAAAAACTTTCATCATCTTGACCCAAATGGATAACCATAACCCAACCTAACACAGCCCTTTTCAATTGACCCATTTGATTGCTCAACTCGTATTCCACCCACATCTAAAATGGATGAGTATGGGTAGGTTGTAACTTGTAAGTGGATGGTTTGGATGTTTTTCAAGTGGTTGGTTCAGAAATTGCCAGCAATATATGAGAATACATATAAAAAAAAGCTGGAAGTCCAAGTTCACTCCATCCATCCCAAAACACCAGATAGCTAGGGGGCCAGCATAATGGCCTTTTGGCCCTCAGTTATATAGTAAAGGGGTAGGTCTATTTCCTTCCTTTGGCTGCTAGTCTCACACGATAAAGATTTTTATCAACTTAACTGATGCGACATTCCAATTACAGATCCTGGGTCATCATAAGGATGCAAAAGCTTTCTGGTCATGCCAAAAGTCAAGACATTTAAACATGTTCTAAGCTCCAACACATGCAAACAATGCTACAAGAATAGTTGTCAACGGATTGCTTAGGTGATAAAGCATTTTTCACCTTAGTTTTTTTCCAAACGAATGCATTAATTTTCTGTTTACTGTAAAGGTAAAGAGGTAAAAGGAAATTGCAAAATAACAATTTTCAATTCAAAGAACCACAAAAAGAGTAAATAATCTGTTTATAACGATAGACCTCTTCTTCTACTTTTCTCTCAACCTCTTCTTCACTCTATTCATTCTTTCCTCTTTTTCATTGCAATTAAAACACATAGATAAACACTCCTTAACTCTACCACATTCAACATAAATAAGGGCTCTATCATCTTGTTTGTTTTTGTCATTTTCATACCTATAATCTCTTTGTACCTCCCTCACGTATTAAAAGAATAGGGGCTCCAAACTGTTTTTTATTTTTTATTTTTTTTCTCATAGGCCATGTAATTTTGTTTTCCTATTACTTTTTAATGTTGGACTTAGATCACCTTTTTTTATCAGCTTCATGATAAATCACTTTTAGTGTTTGATACATGCTATTCTTACTAGGGAAACAAGCTAACCCATAAAAAAAGGAAAAAAAAAAACTAGGACATTTTAAAACTAACCAAGTTGCATTATAAAACAGTAATAGCTCAGAAGAGTGCTTAATCACCTAGGTAACTAAGTGCCCCCCTGTCATCTAGGTTCTAAATCAACCAAGTAGAACATCTTCAATTTCAAATGCAGTTAGTTGTGATACTATCAAGTGTCTTCTGAGTTTGGCATCACCTATTGGCATGGTTGGTCCAGATAGGAAATTTTCTTTGCAGATAAATATTTATGCTCACAGTGAACACAGCCCTAAGTCCTAGCTATCCATTGCCTAGCAGGATCTCAAGCATTACCAATAAATTCCTTCCCATGCAAGCAGCTAAAATTTGGAGTCTTTGGAACCCACTACAAAATATAGAATGTGAATATATTAATGTACTTTATTTACCAGTTCAGAATTGGATCTCATGCATTGGATCTTTTACCTTAGATTGGTTACAGTGATAAAACCAGACATGGAAATGGGTAACTGATTCAGTTGATAACTTGAACAAGGATGATCAACCTGAGATACTTTATATTTTCTACAAGCTTGATGAAACAAACACAAAACGGACAGAAAGATTTTTAACTAAGCAACAAGAAAGGCTCAAGCTACAATTGAAAGATTGGTCTTTCCTGCTGTTATAAATCACAAATGTAAACATAGAATAACATAATCAAAATCTGGAAAGCATGAAAACCAAGAAAAAAACAAAGAAAAACTGTAAGAAGAAAGAAAAATCTTTTGGGTTTTCATTCTTTCTTTGTTTGTTCTTGTTCAAGAGTTATAATCCATGTTTGGTGTTATACCTCTATCAGATATGTGTGCCATACAAAAGATTCCATCTTTTTCACTGCTTTTATTTGAAATGTAATCATTATTCACATTGAATAGCCTGCTCTTAGGCGTTCCCATGGAAAACTGGCCTTAACTTATATGCCAAAACCTTTCTTCCCTTCTTTATTCTGGATGAAGGAATGCTTCCCCTGGAACCTTATTGTTTGTTCATATTTCATTCTTTCTTTTAATTTCTATGTGGTTAGGAGGCCATCCCAATCATCCTTTGTGTTTTCCTTTTCCTGTAAAATAGGTGGAAGGATCAAATCAAGTTGCTGGCAGGGTGCCAGTCCATGCTGTGTTCTCATCATCAATGCTTCTAGTCCTGTGATTGCGGCTTTCTTGTAAATAGAAAACTCCAGACCAAATCCCACGAATAAGTAAGATGCTTACAAACACTACACTTCCAAGGGTACAGACAACCTGAATAGAACAACAAAGAGGGAAAAGTTGGTTAAAGAAGAGAAGCTGGGATATGTAAAATGCCAGTATACAATATGCATCAGCACATGTCCATTTAGTATCAAACTATCAATATAATATTTCTTTTGTCTTCAAAGCCAGAAAACAAAGCATGTATTTACACCAGTTTCCAGTTATGAAATTACAGTATTGCCTGATAAGATAACACCGTTGTTGATTCAAGAACACAAGAGTACTTTCATTTAAAAAAGTCTATCCAATCACATAAAACAATGGTGGATGCTATAATATGCCACCTCATGGAACAGAAAGATGACCTAATACGAATGTCTACGAATGGCATAATCAATTGTTTATTCAAAATCTTATACTCCATACTGTTTGAACCACATCCCTAGGCTTGTAATCAAGATATGACATTAGCAAACAAAAAAAATTAGTGAGACTCTCAGCAGGGGCAGAGCCAGGGGGTGGTGGTGGGGAGCCATGCCCCCCCCCCCCCCCATGCCTTCAAAATTCCCATAAAATCTATTTAAGTTCCACTTACATTTTAGCCCCCTTACCCATGTTTCCTAGTTTTTGCCCCCCCCAATCCATATTTTCTAGGTTTTAGTCCCCCTCAATAAAAAATCCTAGCTCCGTTCCCTGACTCTCAGGAAACAAATTCAAGTTCAACTCAGTTTGACAGCTTTACATTTGTAACTCCATGGTAGCAACTTGTCTTGGGCTGAGTTGTATATATTAAACAACTATGTCAAATAAAAAAAAAAAAAAAAAACTCACATTGACATTGTGTAGAAAAGAATATTGCTAGTAACAGGGAAATACTTTATTGGATTTGAATCCAATCATTCTGCCTAAATTGCCATTAAACGTGCCAATGTGTGCATGACTGGTCAGAACTCAGGAGTGACTTCATCCAAAAAAGGAGATTATTGAATGTAGAAACAATTATTCAAATTACTAAGTCTATGGGACCACAACTAGTTTGATACCATGTAAAACAAAGAGCAAAACAGATGAAAGGAAGAGAAACCAAGAGAAGATGAACTATAAGCAGAAGTTAGAAAATCATCTAAAATTTGGTAGAGTGGTAAGTTGCCTTGATACTAAAACTGGCATGGTTCAGAAAAGTACTGATGTAAATGGTAATTAATATCACATATACATTTTCGGCTGAGGGGTTGATTTCCAGACTCCGGATCTCCTGCCCACGAGAACTCTGCCCACACCTACCCACAATACACTACCTCCCGTGAATTGGGAACATCTCCCCCTGCATAATACTATGTAGAGGATGAGATGTTCTTCATGTGTGGCTGCGATTAATGTGGGCAGAGTTCTCGTGGGCTGGAGATCCGGACTCTGGTTTCCATAGATACCAATGATAGTCAACTGAATCAATAATGGAACCCCAGCTGCCTAACTGTAGCCTCTGAAACAGATATAAGATGTTATCCATTATGTCGGTATACACGAGAGATGCCATGTTTAGACTTTAGGCTATGTTTGGTTTGAAGGAAACGGTATGGAAAGGAAGGGAAAGACATGGACAAGATTTGTAAAGGTCTCCCTACCTTTCCCTTCCTTTCCCTACATTTTCCTTCAAACCAAACTGAACATAGCCTGAGAGTGAGCATCTGAACAAGAAATGATAATGGTTCAAAAACAGACAAGGAAAATTGATTCTACTAAAAATTATAAAAAAAAAATAATTCTACTAAAGTGGAAAAGTAAAAACTGAATGAATCTATTGAAAGCCTTTAACTTCTTCTCCAATAATAAGAGTGTTTTAACGAGCAAGTTGGTTGTTCAGAGAGCAGTACACTACCTCAAGGAATGCCTTCAGAACCCACAAAAACGCCAATATTATAATTCCGTTAACCGAAAAGCCCACCTGTAAGTAACCAAGGCATGTTTGTTAAGGTTACAAATAGATTCATAATTTCGAAATAAATTTCCTTCAGGGATGAAATCCTACACATGAAATAATGGCGCCGATAAGACAGCAGCTGGAAATTTAAGCAAAAAGATTAAAATTGGAGTTTAAGTAGTATCACGGGCAGCAAGAAGAAAACATCTAAAGGTATTATTTTCAACTTGACTGTATATCTGCTAAGGAAAAGCCCTTCGTTTAGGAAGTGTTTGGTTTAATGGTAAATAAGAGAGAAGCAGAAAGTTGAAGGAAATTCTAAGTAATTTCAGAAATTTTGTTAATTACTTTCCCTGGACTTTCTGTTTGTCTCTTATTTTCTATCGAACCAAATATAGAAAATTTAGAATGCATTTTCTGACCACATAGATGAAATAAATCATACTTTATTGGAGGAATCATTTTGGAATACAAGGACAAACCAATTTAGTGGAAATAGAAAGCGGAAGGACTGATCGGACGGCCTTCCTAGCGCGCCGGGAGATCTTCCGGAACACATTCTGAACGAAACGAACGAGAAGATCCAAGCTCCGATCTTCGTCTTCGCCCTCTTCATCGTCATCGGCATCGTCGTCGGTGCTGAAGTCGTCATAGTCCCTGGCGATCCTCCCGCTCCAATTACGTGGTTCAGAGACCAAATTGTCACTTTCCTGGTTAAAATTGATCAGATAATTGAAGGAAAAAAAATTCTATTTCGAAGATGCCTTTGCAGCAAATGAAAACAAGGAAAAAGGGAGGTTATTCTTTCTAGTCAGAGAAGGAGTACCTGCGAGTAGTTGGAGAATCTTCTGGTAGCTGGGAGTCGGAGACAATAACGGAGCCGAGGAGTATTAAACCAGATTGGAAGTTGGTGAGAATGGTCTTTCCGCAGCTTCGTTTGAAAGCTAGTGGAAAGAAACTGGGGAGAGAGAGGATGGGAGGATGCCAACGCCATGAGATACCGATACGAGCGAGAGAGAGAGCGGGAGAAGTAGAAATGGAGACGAAAAATATGATGGAGAAACGGGAAAAGAAAAGGCTCCCACCTCCCAGTCCCAGATCGAGTTACGAGGTTACCACGTCGACAACTGCGAGGCGTGCTTTTCTACAGAACGGAAGCATTGTTTCAATGTTTCTGCCAAGTAGCATGATGATGTAATCAATATGAACCGTCTACAACGTCCCACAATACATCTCCGCCGTGTATTGGAAACATTTCGCGATGATAGTACTAGAATAGATAATATAATCATTGAGAGATATTCTTCATACACAGCGGAATTCAAATTAACCATCTTTTGATTTAAGCGGTTCAATATAAATCATAAATTGGGAGAATGACTGTACAACACACTCGAAGAATTCTTAATCCCACAATATAATTGGAGTAGGTGTCAACTCAGAATTGATGCTAAAATACGAATAGATATTGATGTTTATCATTTTGAATTATGTAAGATTACAATGAAATTCAGAATTATATAGTGTGATACTATATACTTTTTCATAAATTTTTCTTCTCCTCCTTGGGATGGGGTTACACTTGGGCCCGTTCATTTTTCGATCCCTTTTTGTTTAGTTTTTAGGTAAATAAAACAATGAGCGTTTCAATTATAAAAATACATTATTAAAACTGTGTAATTTTGTCTCACCCAATTGATATCCAAGAAAACAAAAAAGTATTTTGGTCAATAAAAACCAAAATCCGATTGACTCACATTCCTCTCTCTCAAGATCCAAAAAACCAATGGACTCTTACACAACTTATGAAATGTGGATTGCACAATGGAATACCCATATCCATCCAAAGTCCATAAGTAGCCCCAACCCTGGTGCAGGTGGGATTAGGGGATTTGATCCTAATAAATCTACCCTTACCAACTGAACCAAGCACCTTATAGTATAAATTTATCTTACATTATTGTACTTTTTCTTTTTTTTCTTTCGATTAGTATGGTTGAAAATTTTAGTATTGATCTTATTTTCTCCTTCACGGCCTGCAATATATTTATTACATTAGATATTATCTTTGGAGAAGCCAAAATCAAAGTAAAAAAATTGTTTGATGAAAAAGTTGGGAGTGGATTTCTTATCTAAAAAAAGGTCTGTTTGAAAAAACTGAAAAAAAAAATCATTTTGCTTTTTATGTTTGCAAGAATTCAGGCTATGTTTGGTTTGAAGGAAAATGTAAGAAAATGAAGGGAAAAGTAGAGAAACCTTTACAATCCATGTATTGGTTTCCCTGTCTTTCCCTTTCTTTCTTTGCCTTTTCTTTCAAACCAAACAAAGCCTAAGAAGTTTTTTTTTTTTTAAGCGGCTACCATTCAAACACTAAAAAAGTATTCTTTTCAAGAAGTCAGTTTCTAAAATTGGCTAAAATTTTCTAAAAGCCCAGGGCTTAGTTATGAAGTCCACACTCCACAATTTGTTCATCACTTGGAATGAAATGAACAGAGAGAGACTTGTCTACAACCTTCTCTCGAATAAAGTGAACATCGAATTCAATATGTTTTGGCACGCCCATGATGTACAAGATTGGATGCTAAGTGAGTGGCACTGTGGTTGTCACACCATAGAGAAAGAGAGAAAGAGAGAAAGAGAGAGAAATCGGCCTGTATTGGTGCTTTTTTTTCTTAATTTTTTATTTTTTTAATTTGGTTTTGAGGGATCAGTTTAAGGCTAATTTATCACCTGAACCAATGTCTGACCCGAAACACTCCCTATAGGAGCGTATTATGAGCCCATGATACAGATTGTAGGAAAAAGGGGTCACTGTAACTTTGGAGGACAAGCTCTGAGGCGCGTCTGAAGGCACTGTCTTTAGAACGTTATTTGCCCCCACTCAGTTTCATTGAGTTTGCTATTGGGTTGTAGGCAAATCTGTTCCTAGGATACAGCAGAGCCTTGGGTGAGAATCTGCAACCAACAAAGTTGAAGAATCTCCGAAAAAACCTTCTGTGAGACTGTAGCAGACCAAACTGAGAGAGAGAGAGAAAGTGGATCTAAAAAATGTGTGTTTTTGAAATTTGATTCATGCTCCTTAAATAGTTTATGAAGAGGTATAAAGAAAATGTAGGTGCTGGTCGCGAGCAAAGTGCGCCTCTAAAGTGCCTTATTGCACTGCACACACACGCCCACACGTGTGGGCACACATTGCCCGATATCAACTCCTATTAAAATACTGAAAACAAAGCTTATAATTTTTCAATGTGGGACAAGTTCAAAACAGAGTTTTGTAAGAGAAAAACTAATTTTCCAATCAAATGTGCATATGCAATTTCTCATATAATTGACGAATCAAACCCATTAAATTTAATCTCTTATGAGATTAAAATCCAACAATCAATGCTTTGAACCTTGATCATAATATCGGCTTAACAACAAACTTAGTAAGTAACAGCAGGTGATTCGAAAAAGACCACCAACAATGATTTGAAAAAGAGTGGGATTATCAAAGAGAGGACAAGAATCACCTAGGCGACATGAGGCAGTCATAGTCATAGGAGTGGTACTAGTTTTGCAATCTTGCATATTTACATGCAATAGTGAGTTTTGGATATGTTTGTACTAATAAATATGAATGCAACTAGAAGAATATTTTAATTCAAGACTAAGACAAAATGAGCAATATCCGTATGACAAAGAGGAAAGCAATGCCAACTGAGATATCAACTCTTGATTGGTAGATGGGGAACTCCTAGCTATCAGAATGTCATAAGCATAAATAAGTGTTAGTAAAATAGAATAACCATCACGCTAAGAATAAGGAGTAAGCATGTAATTCAAGGAAACCCAAGAGAAGTGATTGTACAAACATGTGAATCAAGCTCAAGGAGTCTGTTACAGGCTCTATAATGATTTGTTGAGTTAATAGACATTATTCAGAAAAGGAGAATTAACAAATCCAATGGATTGTTTCATACACACCTCCTTTTGCAATACACCGTAGAAGAAGACATTACCAACATCCAGTTGATGAATCTACCATTTGAAACAAGCATTCAAAGATAATACAGTCCCAATGGTTGTGGGTTTCATCAAAGTCGACGCCTACCTCCTAAGTGTAACCTTCGGTAAGCGTGTTTTGAAGCACTCAATACAACCAACTTCTTGATGTTTAATTTTATACACCCAAACGTTTCCAACAACGTTCTTGTCGGAAGTAAGAGGGATGAGATTCCAAGTATCATTTTAAATAAGACCCTTATATTCCTCGAGCATAGCAAAGACCCCTATCTTATCTGAGCTTTGTGTATGGTAAGTGGGCTTAGTTTCTTGTGAAGAACTAGAATGGAGTTTGAGGATGCCATGCTTAACACGTGTAACCATGGAAGTGGATGGTAGAGGGATGGACACATTATATTCAGCATCAAGGTTCAAGTGTATCCCACACTTGTTTATTGGGCTAGTGAGGTCTGAGGAAGACGAAGGTGTCAAAGCTGGGCAAGGAGTTGTGCCATCAACATAACCAAAAAGATGATGACCGAGGAGGGGGTTCTCAACTTGAAAATAATTTGAAACATCAAGCTTCACTGAAATGATGAGTTGAGCGAATTGGGTACAGCTAAAAGATTGGTACTTGTCCAGGTCGAAGGATTTGAGGAACCGTTGCTAGTTCTCAACATGGTGGAACGATGTGGACCCAAGGAAATTAAGGACGTTAATCAAGGGCTTTGATACCATGAACGAATTTGGATAAATAAGAAAGGCAAGACGATCTTTCCTTGGTTGGTTGTATTCTTTTTTTAGATGAACGGAGCATGAGAAGTTTATTTGTTACAAGATAGTAAAGACAAAATAGAAGGAAATTAAAGAGATAAGAGATATACATCAAAGAGAGAGAGAGAGAGAATCCTATGTACATGAGATATTGCTACGTGTTGAGGATCGATGGTGTTTTACACATAATTTAACGATAAAATCGGCTTCACTCTTCACAAGACCATGTTTACATCGTTCATACAACTTTTAAAGCCATGCAATGAGAATATCTTTATTTATACTTATATGTTTTCTTCATAGAAAATATTTTCGATACATGATGACTGAAAGAGACTGCAAACAGTGTGAGGAATACTGAAGTCGATTTCTTTAACAATTAGCTATCATCATTCTATCTCAAGTTCATACGTTCAAGCATAGGATCCAATATGAGCCAAGGACAGAAAAAAACGGAGCTATTGGTTAATGGTTACTATAGCTTACGCTCTTTGGACTATTTGTAGATCTCAAAATGCAGTTATTTTTCAAAACCCAGCTGACTGTTCTTTGATTTGTGATATTAGTAATATCTCAAAGAGGACGATGAAAAGCATGATGAGAAATTATTGTCAAGGTTCCTTAAATAATGATTCAAACAAGTCAAAGAGATGTTTTTGATGGCATGCATTCTCACGAAGCTGGTGCGATCGATCGATATCGATACAGATGGGAGTTTAGCAATGTAATTAAATAAAGCTAGTTAATTATGGTGTGTGATATATATATATAACTTGTGACCATTCTGGTTCGCGTGTAGCTAAATGCATATTCGTCTGTGGGCCCATTATCATTGATCCCACATCCTGCTAAACAGCTCTAAGCTGCGTCTTTCCATCCCTGCAAGGCCTCTCGTCCCCGCATATCGGTATTTTATGCAGTACTCTTTTAAGTCTCTCCGTCTCCGAGTATATTATCATCTCCGTCTCTCCGAATCGTTGACATTTTATCCAATACCCTTTAAGTAGTATGACAATACTCTATAAAACAAAATCACTGTTCGAAAATAAAAAATCTATATTTGATTATGATTGTGTGAGAGAGATAGAGAAACCCAATGTTATTAAGTTGAACCATTGAAAGTAATCGAAGCTATATATCCTTTTACATCATTGCATAGGTATTTTTATCACCACATTAATAACTCTTGATGTCGCGCGATCTCGCTATTCTTGCGTGTCTGATGATTCGGACTCTTATTCGGATTATACTTTGTCAAGCCGAGCTGATTTTATTCGGATTATACTTAAGTCAAAGAGTGTTTGACAATATTAGAAAATGAGAAAGCTTGAGAGTTTTAGAGGTTGTAATCACGCGTACCTTCATAGATAGAAATGAGTGCTTTATATAGGCATCAGTGGTCTTAGTCCTCTTACAACGGGTATCATCTTCTCGTAGAACCGTTTTCGCTTGATCAGCTGAGTTATTACGTCAATTACGAGATCTGCACAGGGTTACGATCTGCCCGAATAATTCTGAGGCGTGCAATGCGGTAGGCTGATCTAACAGTCGAGACATTAATGCTCCAGAGATCTCGAGTTGGTAATGGATCATTGGGACAAGTCAGCGGGCTCCCCTTGCAAGTCGCTGTAGGTTCCTACAGTTCGGCCAATCTCTGAAACAGGTCGCTATAAGCGGGGAGACTTGACAACTCGGCCTGATCGAGGTGGAGATCGACCTGAGCGAGGGGTTTCAAACTAACTTGCCGACCTAGTTTACTTACTCAACGCCGAAGTATCATTTGCAAGCCAAGTGTCGCAATGTGATTTAAGTTTTGTCAAATAAAAAACAACTCTTTCACTTTTTATGTTCGCCGTTAAATTAACAATTAAAAAATATATTTATTTCAATGTATTAATTTACAACATTAAAATCTTCATGAGTTCATCTCTCAAGAACTCTGATTAGTGCGTTCTTAAGATCTTATCCTGTATTTGGCATTCCTTATATTTAAGGATTTATCCCTTTTGGCTGTTAAAAACTCAACTCAGTATTAATTTATAGGAACATTTTAATTATATAAATAAATAAATTCTTAAAATAAAGAATGCCAAATGCAGCCTTAGTAAGCAACTAAGCATGTTCTCTTTCGACCGACTTAATTTCTGCTATTCTCCTAACACAAAAATGAACATTTCTTCAGCAAGATTTGCTTTTACATTTTCACCTGAAATTAGATAAGTATTTGAAGGAGAAAAGAGAACTGACAAAGTGGTCTGGTACTCTGGTTTATAATTTTTATCCGGTTATCACCAGCTGCCACCACCTTCTTTGTTATTGTCAACGTATCATGATTAAAGGAAGGAGCCACTGTTTGGCTTTATTGTGCTTGCAACTCAAATTTCAGGTGTTGATGACATCTTTATAGAAGGGTGCATAATATTAAAGAGGGGAAATTAAAAGAAAAAAATAGAATAAAAGATGGATTATCTGCAACACTAAACTAGAATGCTCACTGAGGGTACTTTTGGGAGGGCTTTGGCTTTAATTGAGTTGTTTTTACTGAATCACTTTGACGGATTTTGTTTGGGAAAATGATCGATCAGCCCAGAGTCAGAATTTATAAGTTCAAAATACTATCAGAATAGGTGGCAATTCGAAATTGATGCCAATTCATGGGTGAATGTTAATGCATAGAATGTGGATTGTTGATCTTTTGAATGTTTATAGCTTTGTAGTGAAAATAAAAAAATCTAAATTAGAAAAATCCGTACTTCTCCAATTTGATTTCAATTAATTTTTTTTACTCAATAAACGCATATTTAGGCTTTAGCCCTCTCAAACAGGCACTGAGCTATGGTTAGCATGCATGTTTAAACCGTGAAAATCACCATTTTACCAGTACCCAGAAAGGTCACGTCCAGTCCAGTCCAAGACTAACAACTAGCTTTATAGTAAAGCAGCAATCACCATTTCACCAGAACCCAGAAAGGCCATTAGATCACCAGTTCAACCGTTCAGTCCAATCCATGTCTTAACAACACTACTAGCTTATAGGAAAGCCGCAAATGAGACAAGACTCACCCAGATTAGTTTGGCTTGTTGAATTCTTGACATTTATAGATATAAGAAAAGAATACGTTGCTTAGCAGTTTTTGTAAGATACCGATTACCAAGATTAATATTTGTTATACGAGTATACCTAAAGTTGAGCTCAGGCTCGGTTATAACAACTTAGCGTGGTCATTCACTCACTAATCCAGTCGTACACCAAGCCGAAGATACTCCCTTTGGAAGTAAAGACAATTAAGTATCTTTCCCTGTAACCATTGCAACGGTTAGAAAACGGCCAGCGCAATGATGCCGGAAGAGCTTAGCTTTGACCAATCACACCCGGCCCACTCCCTGGTCCCTGCCGTGAATTTTTATGAATACCACCTGATTTGTCATCACTTCCGGTTGATTGGCTTTGGTTAAAAGGTTTTCCGGTATCATGCCTTTCTGTTATCTCAAAATTTTTTTCTCCTCTTTCCCAAAACAAAAAAGAATTGTAGGATTTTTTATTTCAAACCGATTTATACTAAAGAAGGGTAACAGAGGGGGGAAGGGGAATTCAAAATTCTACGGAGAGTCAGAGGCCTTTGCTCCATGGAGTGGCTGGGCCAAAGGCCCCACACCAGAAAGAGAATCAGAGACACCATAAGAAACAAAACCCAGATGCTAGCCCAGAATCCCTGGTTCTTTCTTTATGTCCTTAACCTTTTTTCCCTGTGAATATTCTTTTTTTTTTAATTAGTAATGGAAGTGCTCTGAATTCTGAATGGATTTATGCTTTCTTTAATCTTTATATTGAACTAAAGCCGCCCAAACCGATTCTGGGCCTGGCAACGTTGACAGAATCCAAAAGAAACAGAAGCTACAAAGCCCACAAAACTGCAGCAACGGATAAGGCGTAAAAAAGCTGAACTTGTGTTGTGTTTATGGTGACAAGTTTGTCACGGTTGTGGTTCATTAATGACTCAATCCACAGAACATCAAAATTATTTAAACATGTGGCTTATGTTAGACAATTCGGGCTCATTTGCCGTGGATGGTTTTGAATGGTTCGCATGTTGGCCATGTTACATTTACAAATACAATGGTTAAAGAACTCAAAGAAGACATTTTACTTGACTCGATCTAACTCACCAATCCCCATGGGTCTCAGACTAGACATCTTTACCATTACAAATAGATCTAGCATTACAAGTCTACACAAGCACACAAACAAAACGAAAAAAAAAAGAGAAAAAAAAAGAGGAAAAATGAGGAACCCATCTGCCCTTTTATTGTAACAGAATCAAGCTCAGAAGTTTCAATTTAGTGCCCGCTATTAACAATCTTTCTGTTACAGGTTATGAAAACTCTCACAAAGCTTCTCACATACCTCTGTACTATAGCACCCATAAAAACAATCATCTCCCCAAGTCATGTAAACCTATGCTGTCTGACTATACATGGTGTGTGTGCCTATCAAGTCACCTTCTTCTGCTAAAACTCGAAGAACAAACGGTTAGGAGCCATGGACTATACAACTCCGAAAAATTCTCTCTCACTCTCTTTTACTTTCTACTGGTTTTTCAGAAAAAAATAAATAAATGTAAGATTAAATGAAGACTGGTCCAGAGATTCCTTTTTGATGGAGTTGACTTCAAAAAGACATCTATAACTACACCTTCATGCAACCTGCAAGATGGGACAAAACTTTCAATGTAAAAGTATAAAACTATAAGTTGGATTAAACCAAATGCTTTTCTTTTCCTTTTTATTTCTTTTACCATTATGACCAATATTGTCCAGAGTTGAGTTAGGAACGAAGCCCAATTGGATAACACCTTGAAGCTCATCATCCCATGCACCGGGTATCTGTAACCAGAGGGCTCTATAATCAATGACTGATGAACAAAGGAGAGGAAAGGGAGGTACAACAACTCATTTGTCTTACCGGAGGAATGGGGGTTAACTGTGGATTTGTACCCTGGACTACTGGCAAGGCACCCTGTGATGGAGTTATGTGCTGTTGTGGAAAAGAGGAGCTCATTCCTGGAGCAAATCCAGGAGTACTTGAACTGCCACCTCGTGAATGAAGCATCTATACAGTGGAGTCAAATTTGTCAACTAACAAGGAGTTCATAGCAAGCTCTAAAGAAACCGTGCTTCACCTTCATCTATAGAACTATTGTTACAACATCCATACTTACATCTTTTGATAGAAATCGTTCCATGTTAATGTTTAGCTCCGGATTGACAGTGGCAAGTTTCATTGACAGGAACTGCAGTAGAACATGTGACATATCATAAGAATCAACAAAGCCAATTAGAAAAATAAACAAGCTAAATTCCTAACTCCACTTACTAAATGGAAAATATGCAAATAGACCCAAGTTTCAGCATTTTATAACAGCATTGCACATAAAACATAATATGAGCTTTTATGATATGGGATTGTAAACGAGATCACATCAGCCCACATCCACATTGGAACAACACAAGCTCAATCTTCCCCTCCCTGAGGTAAGGAGACCATTTTCGATTACAAGAAGACATTCACCTTCCCCCCTTAAAATTCTTCCCAGAAACATCACATGGTGGAGCATTCAATTTAGAGAGCCAGCTCCAAGCACGAGGCAGGCAGAACCAATCAGGACTAAACATTCAATGGACCAACCAGTCAACTTTCATTCTAGAACTAAAACTTGAATGGAGGGATGGTACTTTGAACGAAAGATAAAAATCCCATTTACCGGCACTTGCATCAAAGAGAAATGAACTAGAGAAATGGCCCCCTAGGTGCTTACTAGTAGTGTAGATGTAACACAGTGGTCTATATCATATGGAGGTTTTCTCCTTCACTCCCCTGTTTTCTTCTTGGTAAGTATATAGAGGAATTGGTGAACTACATACCTCAACCTGCCGTTGTAATGATTGCACGTAATTGATAATTTCATCAAGCATTCCAGCCTTCCCAGTAACCTTTATTTGTAAAAAACAATAACTAATTAGAAGCAACGAGCTAAATAAGAGAATCCACAGAAATAGAGAAATTAAAACTTTCTTCATCTACCTTGTTGCATCCTGGAACAAGATCTTGAAGAAACCTCATCCGCTCACTGATCTTTTCTCTTCTGACCTACACATTGATGAAGGATGTATGCTCAACAATCTGGAGAAAGACAAAGAATTTCTATTATGAGAACTACGGATGGCTCATAGGAAGAAGTTACCCTCTCTGCCAGGCTGTGACTATTGGTAGCCTGGCCTCTTCTTGCTCTTACATGAATGTAATCTTCTTTTGGGGCGTCCCCATTCTGGGACCGGTCTTTAGCTTGTTTACCTGTTACCTTACCACGCGAATTAGCACCTGGGTTCTGCTCATTTTTCTGTTTCTTCTCATCCTGCTCATTGGCACCATCTAAGGTCTTCTGTGAGAGGTCCTTTTGCTGCTCAGCCTCCAAACTCTGTCCCTTCGGAGATAAAAACCAAATCACAATCTTGCATGACATAATGGTGAACGATCATGAAGTGTAACGCAGTTTACCTGACTGGTATCAAATTGAGAATGATTTTCAGGCACTCTTTTCCTTTTCTTTCCATTAGGTGAAGGTCCCCCAGCCCCGTCGTCCTGCTGGTCCTCTTGGAAGACTCTGGCGTGAATAGCACCATTCGTTGAACTTGCGGTTTTCTCAGTATCACCCTCCTTGTTTGAGGAGGGGTAATCGAGACAGTCAGCATTGACAATTTGGTCACAATCTGGCAAGCCAAGGGAGCTAACCATATCAGAGAAGCTCCCACTACCAAAACATGGAAGCTTGGGCGCTAGGTCGACAAGGTTAGGATCAGATGGAAACTGAACAAGGTGAGGGCTGACTCCCCGATTTTCCAGCATACCAACACCATAAGTTGAAGTAGTAATTTGATGGGGAGAAACAATAGAAGAAACCTGGAATTCCACGTTCTGTGCCTGTGAAACAAATGGATCCCAAGGAGAAGGGAAGAATGAGTCCACTACATTGGAAGATTTAGACATGGACATTGAGCTTGCTGTCATCCCAACAACCTTCTCAGGCACGTACATCCCTGAAGATGGACAATTCAGAAGGCTTCCACATCTCTGTTGGAACCCCAAATCCCCATTATCATCAGCACCCATGTCCTCTAACGAGACTAACTAAATTTTCCAATCTGTTGAATTCAACCTATTTCGAGTCCAATTCACAGTCTCCCCCCAAATGCAAGTGAAATAGCTAAGTTAGCTTAAAAGAGAAGTTCTGTAAGTAAAGCCAAAGTGGGTTTGACTAAAAATAGCCGGTAATTTCTTGCAGGACTCAACAAGGAACAAATAACCTTGGCAGCTTTATAGAACCAAGTAGGGATTAAAGCAAAAGAATGGCTCAGTTGCAGCATCAAAGGAAAAGGAGAAATCGAGTGTACCAGGCATATAATCTACAATCTACACGGTACAAGCAACTTACCTGTGCCTTCTAAAACCCTAAGATCACGTCTACTCTAATGTGAAAAAATGTCCTACAGACAAGAAAGTGAACCTTTCAGAGCACAAAGGAGACAAACAAGAAAAGAATGGCATTAGTTAACAGCTCATCAAACTAACAAAAAAAAAAGGAAAGCAGATTCCCTTTTTCTTTTGTCTTTAAAAGAAACGAAATATCAGCATCTCTTACTCAATTAACTATGCATTCAATCCAAATAAGCATAAAATTCCATTGGTCAGGTTCAAGAGAGGATCATTTGAAACTTGTATGCCATGATAGAAGCTGAAAGTAATGAATACAGAAATCTCAGCAGAGCTCAAGAACTGGTGAACATTCTGATTTCAAATTCAATTGACCCAAACCCCCACTGCTGAGTTTTTTTTTATTTTTTTTTTCCACACAATAATATGGCTTACTTTAGGTACACTAGAATAGAACACACTAAAAGCACCAAATGCTACTACAATTACACAAAACAGTAGAACGGCCGAACGGGTAAGGTTTAAATCTTCCAGCCAACACAAGTTTTCATATCCCCCAAATAAGGCGTTACAGAACCATTAGAGCATCAAATGCTGGTCCAGATCAGGCAATCGAAAAGGGGAAAAAATGAAAACCCTTAATCACCCAACTGTATATTTGCAGAAATGGTGGGAAAAGCACTACAGATTGTTGGGAGGTTGGAGTGTGGGGGTTTTGCTTACTGTAACAACTAAACAGATGAAATGTACGATTCCAAAGGACAGATTAACCACTGCTAACTACCCTTGCTGCTAAAATATATCAAAACCTAACCCGGTTTCTTCTCAGCAAATTCATTCTAATTTTTTATTTAAGTTATCGTATATTTATTTATCTTTTCTTTAGTTAGAGAGAGAGAAAGAAAGAGGTAGGTTCTTCTCTTCAACTCTAAGCTTGCTTGACATCTTTTACTGACACAATTGCCAACTATCCTAATTCCCAACAGACCTACTGCTGTTCTGCACTCAATATATATATATATATATATATATATATATATATATATATATATATTTCTCCCTGCCAAGTGCCAACTAACCCCCTCTTTACTTTTGAGAGGGGATAAATTACATAATGGAACCCAGCTCCATCATCTCGGATGCGCCTCTTAATCATTAATCTGGGCCATTCTGACCAGATCGCATCCGTTTGATTCAGAAACAACTCAAGCCTTCCAATCTAGAATTGGACGCCATAATTTATGGCTACCCATTGCCTAAAATCCCTGGATGCATCTTAGCCATCTATGTGAGGTTGGACACAGAAGTATGGCCCACGGGATAATGGTGCAGGAGGATAACCTGTACGACACGTGTAGGGTTAAATGCATCATAAGTATTAAGTAGTCATCCATCATGCTGCTATTGGTTGCTCTTGAGTCTTGAGTAGAGTATCTCTTTTATTATTTTAAGTTTCTCACTCTTTGAGTCTTGACTCGCTCTGCTCTGCTCAGGCTTTCTGCCACCAAAGCATCGTCTAGTAATAACAGACGGGAATCTTTACCATCTTTCTACCTTGTTGTCATTGTACTGTTTCCAGCTGTTGATGTTGCTTGCCCCTGTAACTAATGAATTCTTCTCTAGTCTCCCTACTCTAAGTTGGTCAAAACAAACGACAATTCTTGGTCAACTATTTCGCTGGAAGATGCAAATCCATCGGATTTAGCGATGAATCATTCAGTGTGAACACATGCCATGGAGATCGGTAAACCTCATTAATGACTGAACAACTAGAGAGATGGAGTTATTAATGATTATGAACCTAGTCACGTAGGATCTTCTTTTTTCTTTTTTCGGGTATGAGCGGAGTTCGCATTTGAGTGAATCTTTTGACTTTGTTCTGATGACAATAGTAATAAGGTACCCCCGGTATTTTTTTTTTTTTTTTCAAGTATAGACTATACTATAGGAATTAGGGTTGGTTAACAACGTACGGTACAACCAACTCCAACTATAAGCTATTTGGGTTGTTGTTTCACACTCACTTTGGAAATCGGAACAGGGCTCATGGAGATCTTGACTTGGGCGAGAATTCGACATGGGCTCGAACTAGCCCATGAAAATTTGGACTAAAAAAAAAGTTCAAGGCTTCAAGCTTCGTACCCAGACTGATCTGGAACGTAAAAGGAGGTAAAGTGAGGAGTAGAGAAATGGTTTGGTATCTGGTTTCAACCAAACTGTAAAGCGTTAAATTTGTGTCAGTGCTCTGTACTCAATAAACGCTTTAACGCTTTGGGTTTAAAGTTTAAACATCAAAGCCCTAAAATGAAAATTTGGAAATATATTTCATATTTGCACCCAGCTCCCCAATCCTCATCTCTCTACTCTAAAAATAGGAATATTGAACATAATCCATCTAATAGATCGCAATGGAAACGAGAAAACGAATCTAATTCTTTCAGCAGCGCCTTGCCTTGGTTAAACATTTGATTCAACTCAAGTACTCAACTCAGGTTTAAATCCTAATATTCCAGACCTAACTTCTTCTTCACACAGGCCCAGCTTAGAGTCTTCGACAATAACTCAACTCAAGAAAAGGTAGAAGCCCGATGCATAAAAAAGGTAAGGTAGAAGACTGTACCAATAGTGGCTTCTTAGTGCTTCTCATTTCCCTAAGCTCTACAGTAATTAGGAGCATGTTGACCATGGAAAGGTAGGTAATGGACGGGTTAAACCGGGTCCCTATAAAGGGCATCATTGTGACGAGAACGACCCAAACCGGGTCAGGGTTTGTGGTCGGTTCATTTCATGCTATAACACTTGAATTGACTTTATGCATAATTATTTAATTGTACTTTTTTTGTTTAAAAAATGATAATACCGTATCCCTTCCCTCTTATTTGATATTCGTTTGTTATATTCTCTGGAGCTACTTGGAGTCTTGGACCCGCCAGTTCTAGTCCTAATCACAGGGATGGAACAAATTAATAGAGCTCGGATCTGGATCCTCCTGCCTCTGTCATCTCCATTGGTAATTGGTTCAATAAGACGCCTTCAATTTTTCAGAAAACCAAAACTTGGTTCAATAACACTCTAGATGTCCTGCCCACAAAAATTCTATCCACGTCTACCCACAAGGCCACAATTCACTATCTCCGTGCATCAGTAACATCTCCCGTATATAATATTAGATAGGAGGATGAGATGTTTTCTATATATAACAGCGACGTTATGTTAGTAAACATGGCAGAGTTCTTGTGAACAAGAGATCTGGAATCGTTCAATAATGCCTAAAGACCATCTACAAACATTCCTTCTTGAATCAAGTTCAAGCCTATTTCCATATGGACGGGAGGGACTGTGTATAGGGGACGTGAATGACTTGGCAACTACGAATACCAAATAGCTAGTGGGCATCCCACCACCACCAATGGCCAATGGAAACGGATCATCATCTGATTAGTGGAACATCTATTGGACCAGAAAATCTGTCCATCAGACCACCCAAAAATTGCTTAGATCGGAAAGAGTTCAGATCTGCACCCCACAAGGGGTGCCCCACAATGGCCCACAGTATATATACGCTGTGTATTGGAAACATCTCCTGATGATAATACTAGAAATGATGATATCATCATTAGGAAATATTCCCAATACACGACAGGAATGTACTGTGGAACGATGTGGCACCCCCTTGTGGGGCACAGATCTGAACTCGATTGGAAAGCCGGTGACCCGAACAATTCAGTTTAAAATGGCGACCATTATCCGGAAACTAATGTGGGATCCCCCGAACAAAGAGCGTTCCATTAAAAGTGGGGTGCAAACCTCCATCCTAACTCATTTTTCTATTGATCCGGTATTCCCCTTCTTTTAAAGATCTTAGTTACGATTGGTAAGCCTTTTTGACAATTTGCCCAAAAATGTCTTTTCCTTCTCTTAAGATTTGAGTGGATAATTTACTTTCAAAGATGCTAATTGTACTGACGACTTAAACTTACAGAAATTAACCATCCGTATTAATAGGGGTGTCAACAGACCGGTTTTGGATCGTACCCCGTCCAAACCAAAACCAAATTTGGATGGATTCGACGGACCAAAAAGACATTATATTGGACCAGTCCAAACTTTATGGTTCAAAGTTTTTATTGGATTGATTGGATTGGACTGAACCTTGTCCATTTATAATGAAATAAGGAATTCATATTAGATTGGGTTGGATATATATATATGTGTGTGTGGGTGTGTGTATATATGTGTATACAAATATATGTATATATGTGTATAAATATATATTTTAACAATAAATAATGTATAAATATATTTTGGATATGTTATATGTATTATTCTATATTTAATATATATTTTTTAATTCAGTTTTAAATTTTTTATTTATAAAAAATATTAAAAATTGTAATTTGTAGCTAAAAAAGGTTTTTTTTTTCATGAAAATAGTGGGACAAGGCGCCTATGGCATTTTGGGACACATAGATCTCAAAAATTTATCCAAAATGAAAAAATCACCTTGATCGGACATCGGAGTGCAAAGTTATAGCCTCCAAAAGTTTACATGTATTCAAAGTACAACCCACAACCCAGTCACTAGGTCAAACAGGTCAACAGTCAAACGGTTCTTGACTAAGTCAACAGTTTTTTATCATGTAACGGGTCTTAATTGAACCTGACCAAAAATTCTGATTGGGCGATGGTTCAAACGGTTCAACCAATCGGGTCAACAACGGGTTGAAAACATTGGAAAGTATTCTGCCTTGATTGGGCGGTTTTGACTGAACTAGTTAACTAATTAAAAGAAACTGATGGAAAGTTGATTTTTCAGCTCAAATAAGCTTATTTCCAAACACGATTCCACAGCTTTGGGAGTTTCTCAGCTCATGAAACAAAAGCCTTGAAAGCTCGGCACTAAGTTGAATCCAATCCGGACTTCTCACAGAGATCTATGAGAAGAGGTAATGCAAGCCCATCCTTCACTAGCTTCCACAATTCAAAAACTCCCCTTTCATTTCATGAGATGATTTAAAATCATGACAGCACTATTAGGGGTTGTTCTATAACATGAATGTTTTTGTTTTTATTTGTTTTTAAAATAATTAAATTAGTAAAGAACAAAAACATGTTCTTGAATTATGTTTTTCTTATCAAAAGGAAAAATAAGTTGGTTTTGTTTTCAAAAACAGTAAATGTTTCTTGAACCAATAAAGTATTAGTTTTTAAAACAAAAACAAGTTTTTTAGTATAGAAATCACATGATTTATGGAGCATGAAGTTGAATAATCAGATAAAAACATGTTTTTGAAACCAGATTAAAAAAATATGTTTTTTGTTTCAATTTTGAAAAAACAAAACAAACGCACAACCAAAAACATGTTTTTCTTGTGTTTTTGTTTTGAAAAACAGTTTGTCTTCAAACCAAATTATTTTGATTTGTTTTTGGAATAAACAACAAGAAAAACAATTCGCGTTGTAGAACACCCCCTTAGAGTTATAGTTTGTCTTCAATTTATTGATAGAACAAAATGTGACTCATCCAAAGGCACCGCATAAACATCTGAACTCTTCTGGTTAAAGGCCCATAAGCATGTACAAGTTTCCTCAGAATCTGAATTATCAATATCATAGTTTCTTGGAGATCAGGAAGTGTGTACTGACGATGCACCACAAGAGTCATCGATGCCCATCCTTCTCGAAGACCAAAGACATCAATCTTCGTCTTAGTTGTAGAAACTGTTGGAGATTATGCAAGGTTCAAAGTATCGACACATATTGGCCCATATCGGCCGATACGTATCATTCCAGAACCCCTCTGATA